AGCTGGTGAGGAGGGGGGAGAGGGAAGGAGAGGAGTGAGAGGGAGTTTTATAACTCGTTTGTATTTCTACTGCAGACATCTGTTCCTCAAAAAGAAAATTTGGGCCTAACCACCCGCCTCTCTCTCCTGCCATGCCTTGATGATACAAATTTATGGTGTTATTTAGGCGGGAGGCTGCCCATTTTTGCATCCCTACGCCAGGGAGTGCTATCTGCAGCTCCAAACCTCCCCTACATTGCAGCCCATGCCTCACAGATGGCATCTAAGTTCTTGACGTCTCCGACCCCCCACCAGGCCCCATAACCCTCCAGTCTGGACCCCAACTAGATCCCTCCCATCAGGTGGCCTACTCCACCCTCATTCTAGGCTGCTTAGCTCCCTGCACTCTTTCCCCTCTCGGGTGTGGCCCTGTCGGGAGCTTTGGCCACACCTCCAAGGCCAGTCAGAACCCCAGGCCCTCGGCTCTGGGAGTCCTTGGTGGTGGGCCCCTGGCCCTTCCGGTCATGGCCCCAGCATTGACCAGTTGAGGGTGCCTCAAGTCAGGCTTCTGAGCATCTAGCCCACACTCTCTGATGTGGGCCTGCCTTCTTGGGCCCTTCTATGGGGTTACCCACCTGGTTGTGGGAGCTGGGGTTATTAAGGTGCGTGTGTGCGTGCAGGCTGATAAATTACATACATCTACCACCACTCATCAGCACATCTATAAAATGCTTTTTTAAAGGTTTTTAAATCACTTACGGAGTCCAGACCCTTGGGAAGGCATCAATTTCCTCTTGTGTATATTCATTTAACCTCCTGGGGATTTTCCGTGGCTGAGGAAGCTCCTCTAAAAGATTCTTCTGTATGTCTTCTGGAATAACCTTAAATGGAAGATATTAATTGATTCTTGATTGTCTAATTTTTAAACAATAAATCTTCCCTGCAGCCCTGCAATTCTAAAGAGGAAATCCTAATAAATATTTACTGTTAGGTAAGCTTTTCTGAACATTGTGCCAACAGTTATGATACAGTGTTAAATGAACCAACCCACTATATAAGCATTACTGTTACCACACAATAATGTTAGTAGCACTAGTTGAGCCACAACTAAAACTAAAAGACATAAGATATCATTCAGCCCAAGGAATAATGCATCCTGAAGAGCTGTGTTCAGTCTGTTATGTAGCAACACACTAATCTTATCATATTTTAATGCAGATTCATATTAAAACAGACAAATGACTGAAAAACCTAATGCTGAAAAAGGCTCCAAAACACAACCACAGCACCAGCTGGAATTCCATTTCTACCACCCACAATCAACAGCAGTTCTCTAGACAGTCGAATTCTTGCACCACATTCTAAGAACTGACAGCCTGGCCTTGGGAGACAAGAAGCCTGAGGAAGT